TACCAACAGTGCCTGGAGTCTCCACCTGAGGCCTGTGTCCTTTGCAAGGAATCCTAGCAGCCTGCCCCATTCACTTGCAGCTAAGCAAGCAAAGCAAAAGTGGCAGATCCCTTCAGAATCTCTGGGAAATAGGAATGGCAAAAAGAAGAGCATACAGGCTAGTGGACAGAGTAGTAGCTCCTCCCATTCTTACAAACTCTGCTGCAAGCTAGAGACAGGGGCATCTGGTTAAGATGGCGGCTATGGCAGGCCAGAGGTTCTCCTTGAGCAACTGAGGCCTCAGCAGCTGCTCAACCATGTCATGCCCAATGGGCCCTGCATGATATAGGCTAGATAATATATGAAAGATTCTCAACAATAAACATTCTGCAGCCACGAAGATGAAGAATAGCCAAAACTTGGCACTAAATTAAACAAATGGGTTCCCATCTTTAGTCTTTTACCAAAATAATTTACTGAAGCATAAGCAGTAAGCAGACTCAAGGCTAGAATGTCATACAAACCATATATTAACCCAGTCAGCAATAAATCTCCCCCTTCCCTCCAAGCTCTATGCTACTTTCTTAAATAGCTCACTATAAAGCCCCAACCTAATTAAAAACAGCTTCCTCTACAACAGCGGCCTTGATTTCACTTATTTACACATTAACTGCAGCCTCCGTTTGGCCAATCCAGTCTATTCCCTGTACTACGCGGGGCCTTTTATCTGCCCTGGACAGCATTTTCTCCAGCAGATGAAGTAGATGCCGATTGATTTGCTGTCGAGCATGGTAAATTAATAGCAACAAATTGCTGAGGGCCCCATCTCACTGCACCACCATGCTTCGGCAGTTTTGCTTTATTTGCTCCATGATGGGCAGCAGTCAGGCCTCTTCAAGTCAATTTCTTCTTAACAACCTGCAATACTTTTCAATGGTGAAAATAGAGCTGTTCCTTGTAAGTCAGAAATCAATATCCTATTGCCCTTAGAAAATGCTAAACAAGCAGTATTGGCAATCCACTTGGTACCAGAGGGTATCAGATATAATGCAAATCCATACCACTTCCCTCCTTGTAGTTATTACAGTTTGCTAAAAGGTTCCTAATGCCATTTATCATCATTTACCATCGACTACTGCAGCTACGATTATGATATCCTATCAGCTGGCCAGAGCCCTTTCATTTCTACTCAATTAATATTTTAGCAGCACTCAAATGGTTGTTGCCTAAGACGTGTAATAAAATTTACATGGATTGCACTGAAATGGAGGAAGAGGGAGGAAGGGGCTACAGTGGTGATTTTAAAAAGAAATACACGTGTCGTTCATTTTTCTATGTCCAGCTTCAAGGTCTGATCTTCTTACAAAAAGAAAAAAAATACACTGGAAAAGGAGATCACTTTGAGAATTCTTTCTGCTACAGTGAGTTTAACTGAAGAACAAAGCACTACTGTTCCCTCAAGTCAGGGAAAAAAACCCATCCCAGAATGATATTTCCCTCCTACCACTGGTCCTATTCACAAGTGTTTTATCTACAGCCAAGTGTCAAGCCTTATTTTGGGGGATAAATTGCCAGTAGCTGAATAAAGACACTCCAGTATTTGATTTCCCCACATGAGATTACAATGCATAATAATCAATTAAAATATTACTAGATTCCAAGCCATCAGAAAAGTGCAATTTAGCACACCCAAACTTAACTGACTTTTCATTTGTTTTCTTTTTGAAAATACTGTATGGTTTAACAAGAGAAAAATTGCCATGGTACTGTCTGCCTAGAGAGTTTTTGCTATTGAACAAGTACATAAATGAAATAAAGTAAACAGGTTTAAGAGGACATTACTAAGAAAGCCCCATTACTACCTAAAAGGCACTTTTTCCTTGGTAAGTATAGTCAAGAATTTAGACTTAATAGCATCTAAACATAAGAATGGTTAGTAATACTTTTCCCCCACTCCAGATAAAAGTGCACTTTTTCATCCAGCATCTCCCAGCAGATCTATCCAATTCTATTGATCTTAGTAGCCATTGGCAAAATCATTGCTTAAAAATTTTACACTGTTATGCCACACACCAGGGTTGTTAGTGGTAGGTAGAAACAAAACAAACAAAAATTCAGAGAACTAATGCTATCAGTCTAATGCTATTTACTCAGTTACCAAAATCTAAATTAATTATGTTCTCAAACATAATTGTTAAAAATTGGCAACATTATGCAGGCTTAATTAAGATTAAATCCAATTTACTAAATGTACTTTAATTGGTACTAATTACATTAGCTTTCCTTTCAGAATGACAAATTCCCCATAGGTTTCCCTTTAATAGTCTTCTATCAAAATCAACACAGGATGACGGATGATCAGCCCTGCAAAAGGGGAGGGGAAAGAAATAACATTCTCTTTAACCCTACCCCACTTCTGAGCTGCGCACGCGTACATAGCTATGCGCATTTATCCTTTTATCAATTTGCTAAATCACAGAGTCATGACTCCATCACAGCAATCATTTTCTGTTCCAATGAAAAAGTTCTCTAAAAATAAATACTCTATGGCTGGGAGCAGCCAAGAAGAACAGACGCTTGAACAGCAAAATACACAAAGGTTTCAAATATCAGGGCCACCAATTACTAGGGTACTTCCAGGGACTCCAGGGAGCCCTTCTTTTGAACCCTCCGAGACGCAGATCTAATAAGCGAATAAGCCTAACCTGATCTTGAGAACTAGACCCAATTATGCCTCAGGGCAACTCCGCTGCATTATTGCCTGCTTTCCATTACAAGGGCATCCAGCAACTACATCTGGAAAAGGAGCTAAGAGGAACCAAGGCTGTCTGCCTAGGAAAACAAATAAAGATAGATAGGCCTCTAGGTTTGGCAGGGTGGGGAGGTGGGGAGCGTACAGCTGGAGGGGGCAGGACAAAAGAAAATATCATCAGTAGGTGGTTTGCAGAGCTGCAAGTATTCCATAATGTGATAAACCACCCTCGGGATTTTATGTGATTGAATATAAGAAGAAAACCCACAAATAATCCCAGAAGCAGATCACTTTGTCCCAGTTGGGAAGAATGAGTTTGGCGGGTGTGGGGGAAGAGTAAAATGGAAGAATTTAAGGCAGCAGCCTGAAGGCGATATTACTTAGAAGTGGGTATGCACGTCTCTGAAAGTGCGGCCTTCAGTGTTTCCACCGCGGCAGATGAAACAGGATGTAGCAGCCTCTAAGCTGGAAGGCCAGGGAGTTAGTTCTCTGATCCTCATTATCAAGCCCACATATTACACAGCGGAGAGAGATGAGAAGATAAGATTTTTAAAATGATAGTTCTATGAAGAACTTTCTTTGTTGTATTTCATTAGCGTCAGCAGCGTGCGATAAAACCTATTAAGAAGTGTTTGGTGCGAGGGTGGAGTGTTTACACTGCTAACCTGAATAGAAATGACAGTAATGGAAAAAGTGATATTCTAATTAAACTCAATCCTACAAAATTGGCACATTTATAAAATTAAATGTATGATTTCCTCAGCACAACCTGCTGAATAATGTTTCCAAACTAAAATATTTGATTTTGATTTAAATTTGACCACTTCTTTCTGTACCACCCACTTGCAGCCCGATCACAGTCGCATGGTCACTGACTTCACACCTAGACTTTTGCTCCTTCCAAAATATGCCCCCTCCCATATACACAAAAAAATCTAGATACATATTTAATTATTCTGGATATACTGTGGAGTGGCTACCTAACCACTCTGTAGGTAAACCCCTTGGAAAAAATGCATCAAGCTGAGCCATTGAAATGTTGGTTACTAATTTTGTTAATATATACTACATTAAGATGCCATATTGTCTTTACCTTTTAAACAGTTGGAATTTTAGCACTGAATTCAACATATAAAAGAAATTTCCATTGCTTAACATCCTGATCCTACTTTATTCCTCTCAGTGGACACTCCCAATTGTTCCCAATTACTTATAGCACCCACTTGTCAATTTTACTGTTAACCACTGAAACTGTGAATATTTGCACATAACATTCAACACTGGCATGAAGACAATTGACATAACAAGCTGTGCTCTATGTATATCACAGGATAGGAGATGTATGCTCCAACTGTGTTATTATGCCCAGTGAAAACAGATTTCCAGTTGTGACAAGCTCTTAATAGTGTAAATTCAGAGGGGGAATGCTACCAAACCATAAACAAAATTCCAAAGACAAATGCTCAAATATGGAATTAAACACTGATCAGAAATATCATGCAGCATGTCAACTGCCATCTTTCTAGTTCTTTCCACAGTACACAATTCTAATAAACTTTAATAACATACAGGCATGTTCCCTGGAACAAGTTCATAGTTGTAAATCAAGTGGGGAAAAATCTTGCTAGAAAACAAGCCAAAACCAGTTCTCTATCAGGAACAGTTAAGCTCATTCTGTGAATTATCAAGAGAAGAAATCTAATTTACTACACCACACTTTAAGCTACTGATCTTGGCCTAATTGCTAGTTATAGGACAGAGCTGCATCTCAGTATGGGCTCATTTACTATGAAGAATGATTGGCACTAAGACATTGGACTTTTTTGAGGAGATCCACCTAAACAAAATGAGGGGGGCTCCTCCCTATTCAACAATTTTCTTTTGTCAGTCTTCCTATCCCAACAGTTTTCCACTTATTTGCAATTTAACAAAATAAAGACATGTGTCCTTCGACGTTAAGACCTTTTCAGTGTAGTTATTTATCTCAACAAGGTAACAGCGCGAATTGAATAGCTTCAACCTCCAATCCTGCTTTGTATTCTATAGACCTTTGCAAGAAGAAATTATTCCATTAATCATTACAGAACAGAAAGTTTCCCTCAGGTATGTGGCTCCCAGAATATGAGGACCAGACAGGTCAATCTGCACAAGTTTCTTACAGCAGGTTCACATTTTGCCGCACAGAAGAAGAGCTATTCAAATACTTGACTACAAATGAAAGAGTAATTTAAATGTTACTTTATACAAAAAGATAAAATGCTTTGCCTACCTGTTTATGCATCTCTATATTCAACCCATACGACATTTCATAATACTAAGAAGAAAGGAAAATGGATTTTAGAACATGTAATCACATGAATGCATCCAATTTTGAAGGCATAAAGCATTGTAAGATAGCTAAACTTCCTGTCTTTCTAAAGATCACACATTCCTAATTTTTGTTCATCTGTTTCTAATTCTACCACGTTTAAACAACTACTCCAGAAAGGAGAGAGCCACACATGCATACCAGAAAGGAAAAATAGCAAGTGCCATAATTAAAGATCAGGCAAGCCCCAGATACATTTTGTTCCACAGCACAAATTTAAGTTGCTAGAATGCCATAAATGCTAGAAAAAGGTCTAGGTCGTATACACATCAGCAGCATGAAAAAGAATTCTCTTTCAACATTTTAAATTAAAATATAAAATAACTACAATTAAATACAGACTTTGTGAACAAAACTGCCCAACGACACTAATTTGAAGTAGATACCCCATTGTTAAAGCCTTCTTTCCCCATATCCACAGGGTTTGCCTCTTAGCACTGCATGCTTTAGCCACATTAGACATGTGAAGGCCAGAATATAAGCTTTGATGGATAGTTTGTGCTTTGGCTAGAAGGCTGCGTCTCTCTCAAGGTTATTGTCCTCCCTAAAACTGAGTCACTCTATCACATAAAGAAAGTAATTATTTCCTCTCATAAGCACAGAGGAGCAAACAAAAACCTCTTTGGGTATCATGATACATTAAAAAAATATGTGTTTAGCGACTTCGTCATACACTGATTATTGCTGAGAGAAGTTCCCAGATAAGTGAGGCAGAGGGGCCTTTTCTCCAACTCTGGTCTGACAGACTCAATTAAACATGAAGCTTTTAACCAACCCCTCATAAGCAACAGGTTCAAGTAGCATGACTTTATTAAATTGCTGGTCCTTTTTATCTTACCTTTGAAAATATATTTTTCCTGTTTTGAAACACAGATGTATTCTGCAAGTTAAGGAGTGAGGCAGGAAATGCAGATTTGAAAGCTTTCACCTCCCAGTATGAAAATGTAGATCTGCCTCCGACTCATGGAATAGATCTTTATCAATATATTAAAAGTTAAGGGATTCTATACATTTAAAATATGTATGGTACAAATGCTGTGGAACTACTGCTCTACAGGATATATTGCAAGTTGGAGTACATCTATTTATTTCAAAGGAGGCTTGGACAGAAGAAGGTCCAAGAGGACTGTACCATGAAAGGAAAACTTCACATCAGAACTATCAATACTAAATGGACATAAAGCCTTTGAATTCCAGCCTTCGTCATAAGAGTACCTCCATCGCAAGCTCACTAGCTAGCCGCCTCCAGCAATCTGAGCATTTCTCCTATTCATAGGCCACACTAATAAAATAGACATTTTGAATTCATTATGCTGCTTGCTTACCATGACATAATGTCGCTGCATCTCTGTCTTTTCACTGGCCAGTTTTTCACATTCTAGCTTTAGACTGTTCAAGAAAAACAAACATCCATGAGTTTGAGGCAACACAAAAACATGCTGTCGTGGTTTTATTTCTCGTAATATAGAAGTCTTCCCCTATATGTCACCTTCTGTAATGTTCATAAAGAGACAAAAACAAATAGTTTAAAAATCTCTATAATTTTCGTCACCAGTAGGTATACTAGACTTTTACTTAAACACAAGGCAGGAAAGTTTGGAAATAAATGCCTTGGACCAGGAGGAAAGAACACATGCACACACGCACACAGAGATGATTTGTTAGGAGGCTTGACTATCACAAAACGATAAAAGACTATGATACAAGCTGATTTTTACATGTGAACTTATTTGCCCTTAAACAGATGATGTAACTTTGAGTAACTACTCAAAACACATTAAGGATTTTAGAATGTCAAAGAAAGCAGCACAACAGCATCCACAAGCGACACCTTGTGAGCAATAAAGCATCCTTTGCATTGTTCGCTTTCCCCCTCCTCATTTTTAAAAGCCCAGTGCAACAATCTTGGGAAACCTCATTTCTCAAAGAGAGTATGAAGTACTTTTGCCTTAAGGATAATGAAAGAACACTCCAGCTCCAATTCCAGTTTATCAGTACCTGATGCAGCATGTTGTCACACACAATATGAAGGAGATGGGCAGCTCCCAAAGAACATTTAAGCAAAAATACACACAGGAAATTTTTAAAAAATCATCCCCCCACTGTGCCCCTAAAGTGGGGAGGGATCCTTGTCCAGCAGCTGCCAATCCTCTCACTTCTCACATTATCTTCTACTCCTGCTTCCTGCTCCCCATAAGACCTCTTACGTGTGTTTTGGTGTCAGAAATGCCAAGAAGGCTAGCCCCCATCTGGATTAATTCAGAGGGATGGATTTTGTTTTTCTCTCTCACTACCTCCAATGAAGTGTTGTTTTTTTAACACACTCAGTGGCATGTTTAAAAGTACACTCATAATATTTTGAAACCTCCCGAGTCAAGGGATCTGGTCACAGCTCAAGCCAAGCTGTCTTGGGCAAGATGAAGGAGATGAAATGACACAGTGGTATCAAGGCTACGACCTGTGTGTGTGTTTGTTTTTGTTAGGGGGAAAGGTCACATCTTTAGAAAAAAACAAGTATACTCTCTTTTTTTTTTTCTACTCCAGCCAAAGAGAGGGACCTCTATACCTGTCTTCCTCACCTCCATAAGAGGAGGATGGGGAAAGAAAAAAGTGGCAAGAGACAAGCAAACACAATGCTCGGGGAAAGTAAACATCATTACCTGTGGTACTGAGCCTGTAAGAACTGAAACTCCTCTTTAATCCGATCGCAAGATTCAGAAATGGTGAATTTGAAGGGTTGAGCAGGCTGATGTGGTGCCTAGAAGCGGTCATGAGAATGAAATGTTTTAATTACTCCTCAGCGAAGCCAGCCCACTGGTGCATACAACACATACAAACATGCCTGGCGAGGTCACCCATACATCACTAATGAAAAGAGCTATTAAAACTGACTTTCCTGAGTGTATGCGCGCGCACTCTCTCTCTCCCCCCCCCCACCTCCTTCCCTCCCTCTCTCGCGCACACACACGCAAGACAGAGTGTTTCTGTCTTTCAATCACAAGAGTCTTCCGCCCTTACACACGCACAAAGTGTCTTCCCCACACCTCTCTAAGCCTCTAATTGAGGGAGCGCCTGGTCTTCGATTGCTCATCTCCCCACTCCCACCTAACCACCCGCAGTCTCCAGGCTTGGGAAAGAAAAGGGAAACGCTACTACCCTTGTTATTAACCGGGATAAGAAAGGCGGAAAGGGATGAAAAGGGGGCAAAGGCGCGGAAATCGCAAGGCACAAATGGGCAATACACGCGCTGCCAGATAAAACGAATTAAGCGCGAGGAACCTCGGCTCTCGCTCTCTGCAAAACTGGCCTCGAAATCCTTTCAAACGCTAGCAAGACGGGAAGTACTATAAACATCTCCCTGACATCGTAAAGCTCGGAAAGCCAAAGACAACAATAAGAAAATGGCTACAACTCAATTGTTTCACCCAACTCTCCCTCCCGCCTCCTCTTCACCCCCTCCCTTTCCCCGCATTTGCGTTCTCAACGCAGGAGGCAAAGCGGGCCGAAGATTTGTCTTTATTCTTGCCGATCGTCTCCGGTCTATTTTCTCTCTCTTTCTCTCCCCCCGCCCCTCCAAAACTCGCGGCGCGGTTGCGCCCCTCCCATTTTGTAAACAAGACTTTCGGAAAGGGGGGAGAAGAAGGGCATCGGCAAAGGGGGGGCTCCCACACACGGCACAGCACAAGTCGTAAGCCCCCAGCCCTGGTCACGCCGGCTCGCTCGGCGCTACTCACCGGGTGTCTGGTTTGAGGGTACATCTTGCTCAGATCGCGAATCATCCAAACCGATTTAGTGGGTGCTCTGGGCCAGAAGGAAAACTCGGTTCATTGATTTTAATTGCAACAATGCAAAGAGGACGGATGGAGGCGGCGGCGGAGGACGGAGCTGCCCGACGCCCGTGCTTTGAGGAGCGTCTCCGGCTCTGCCCGTACTCTGCCACCCCAGGGACCGGAGGGAACACACAAGGCGACGAGGAGCAGGAGGAAGCGGCGGCGGCGGCGATATCCCCGGCAGAAGGGGGCCCGTGCCACATTCCACAGGGGCTGTCACTGACCGACGTCCGTCATCGCCGAAGAGACCTCGGCCAATTCAGCCCGCTCCGGCGCTCCCACGCCCAGGGCCCTGAGCGATCCGAGCTTTCAAGCGGCTGTTGGCCTGCGACGGAAGGTTTCGGACAAGTCCCTCTTCCGAGGTCCCGACGTGCGAAGGCTTCTCCTGCACGGCGCCGGCTCCCTCGGTTGCGCTCCGAGGGTCGGCTTGCTCTCGCCCTCTCCCCCTTCACCGCGATCGACCCTCCTGCCGTTCCCCTAGATGGCAAGCAAGGGAAAGGGAAAGGGAAACTCCGTTCATACCAAATGCGATCCTCTCCCGCAGTGATACCTCCCGCAGCCGCCTCTTCCGTTTGAAAACTTTTATTGATCTTAGTTGTTGGCCGTTCGCAACGAGGCAGAAGGAAAAGAAGAAATCCGTGTCTTTATAGCAACCAAAAACTCCCGAGACGAAACGAATCGGATGTTGTTACTCCCGTCTTTCCCCCTTAGCAATTATAAGCGTCTTCAAAGAACTAAGTGCAATAACCTTTTGTTGTGGCTTTTTTTCCTTCTTCCTTCCCTTTTAAACGGCTCTTGTTCTCCCTCCCCCTTTAAAAAAATCTTTTTTAGAAAAAAGAAACAGGATCTTGATTGATTGAGTTGTTTATTTCCCCTTTTTTATCCTCTCCTCTTCCTTTGCAAACTCTTGCAAATAGCAACACAGAACAATATAACACGAAACCGCAGCGGCAGCCCAAACCCACCGCTCGGAACAGCTCTAACAACACGCTCTGGCGAGGTGACTCCTTTGACCAAATTTAGCAGCAGCAAATCATTAACATTCTGATACATATTCACAACAATCGGAAGACAAGGCTGCCGCGGAGCATCCCGGGATACGTAGTCCTTCACGAAGCTATTCTTCCTGGCTGGCGCGCTCTGTGTAATCAAGTAAACTACCACTCCCATCAGGAAGCACAAAACATCTTTAGGCTCCTGTCTCTTTCCCCCTCCCAGCTGCTCCTCCCACGGAGGGCGTCGCCAGCGACCAATCAGCAGTGGCCACTCATTAATCGCCGTTCTGTATTAATGCCCATCATTTCGCCGCTGACAAATGGGCTTACGGCTCTGGGGCGGGGGGGGCGGCTCTGCTTTGATTCCCCACGTGGGGCCCAGACGCCGTTTGGGTCGGCAGCCAATCGGACGGCTCCGTTTGAAGGGGCACTCCCCCAACTCTCCCTCCTCAGCTCTGCCTGAGGTGGAGCTTTGAGATTGCTGACGTTCGATTGCGCCGGCGTTCGAACAGGGGAAACATTTGTTCAGCTGTCAATCAAAGTAACGTGGGGTGGTGGTTGCTGCCGCCGCCGCTACTGCTGCCGGCTCTTGTCGGCTGGGTGGTGGCACAACAAGGGAGGTGTGCGGCGGGACCGGGGGATCCATTGAACCTCGCAGCGGCCCACCCCCACCCGGTGCCACTCATCGCCGCTGTATCACCCGCACCAGGAGGAATGCGGACTAATTAGGGGCCAATGTCTCCTTAAAGAGACAAGCTCGGCCTTGTGTAACGTGCCGAAACCCCTGTTGAGACAAGAGAGGGAAGATCACACTGATCCCACTTCTTTCAGTTCACATCAATTTTACGCGCCACTGGAGCTGGCATAATTTTCATGTGAACGGGACTGAATCGCTGCATCGAGCGAGCGAGCGAGCGGGAGACGGGGGCGACTGAGCCGCGCGGGGAAGGAGGAGGGGAAAGGGGGTGGGCGAGCGGAGCGGGAGATTGGGATCTTTTCATTTTCTTCCATTTAGGGAGATGTCAGGATTTCCCTGGCTATAAAAGACGGGGCTGTTAATTGGGCACAAAGACGCCCTGGCACTGAGCGGGAGAGACGGCAGAAGGAAATGAAGGCTGTTCAAACGAATAATTTATCCAGAGATAATTTACTCAGCGCCAATGACCTCCGTCCAGAGCGGCGGCGGCGGCGGCGGCGGCGGCGGCCTAGCAGTGCTCCGTCGGGGAGGGGGAGAGGCGCGACGGCGGATCGAGAAAGCGAGCTAGACGCCCCCGAACAGGGGGCTTCCCTCGGATGCCAAGGCGGCTCCGCGCGCGAGGTTAATTGGGAAAGCATCGCGCGGCGAAGCATTTGCCTCCGCTCCCCGACCGTCGCGGGTGCTGCTCTTCATTCCGAGAGAGGGCTGGGGGGAGCCGGGGGTCGCGCAAACGATGGAGTCGATTTCTCTTCCACACCCTTGTCTGACAAGCAGGAGGAGGGAAGGGCAGGAGGAGTCTGGGGCTGGCTTGTTCAGCCGTCTTGATTTCATTTCATTTCATTGCCCGCCCGCCCGCCCTCACAAAAATTAAAAATCTGGCAGGTTTGCCTGCGTGTATGTATGTATATCAGATGGAAGGCGACTACATTTTGCAGACTAAGGTGAAAGCCGAAGAATTTTGGAAGCTTCGCAGTGTAGGGGGAATGTTGACAAAGGCTGCTGCTTAAAGCTAGAACACAGCGGAGACTCGGCTTGAGCTCTCGCGTGGCTTTTTCATGAACCTTGAGCTGTAGGGCAGCTAGAAGGCTCTCTCGTGTGAATCTTGTGTTCTTTGTGCAATCGCTTGGGAAGAAGAAAGCACCATTGTGCAGAGTGAGGCTTACATCTAAGTGTGCACTGGATCAGTTAGGACAGCTCCCAAATTTGTACCAGGCAGAAGATAACTGCGGATGTGCTGATGCTTCCCACAACTGATGCCCACACATCTTTAAACCTCTGTATACATGTGTCAAGGGATCCTGATTGGGCAGGTCCCACAGATAGGTATATGAGATCCATCTACTGAAGTTTATATTCTACGCACTGCTTACTATGGGTATGATGTGTCTAGATAGTTGCTGCCTTCCGGCCCTACTAAGAACAGTAGGCCATATAAGAGATGATGACCCATTTCAGGCGGTGGGCAGGGGTGCCCCACAAAATACACCTCCTCTTGTCTTCTAATTTCAGTCTCCAATGCTGAAACATTGCTGAAATTGTAAATAAGCTGAAATACCCACATTAGATCCTCTGAAGCAGTTTGTCACCAAAGTTCAGCAACTCTCATTTTTTGTGAAGAGTCGGGATTGGCTGCTGCAAAGTCACTGAATTTTGGCAGCACAACAGCAATGTATCATGTAGGAGGGTCTGTACCCACCAGAGTCGTCTAGCCCCACATTGGATGAATGTAGCTGGCAAAGCTATTTCGTCCAGCCACATGTCTTTCAGGCCTGTGCCTCAAATGTGTGCAACTAAATAAGGAAAACAGTAATTCTTTTCAAGGGTAAGGAAGATCTGCCACAGCCTGATAATCTAGCTCTTTCTTTTGGGCTCCATATGCTTCAGCTTATACCCAAGTTCATGCGTTCACAGAACTTTGCAAGATTGCTTTGGCCACTGGATGTTATCAAAATGCAAGTAATTGCCTAATAAAGCAAGCTATTACTATTAGGCCGTAAGTGAACTGACATCAACAGATTCTCTGCTGGGATATGCTGTGCTGGCTGTCAGTCAGTTACGAAGAAGTGGCTTTCATGGTGCATGCTTAAAACCTCATTTGTGAGACTTCTTCGTTTATGTAACTTTAAATCAAGCAAGCCTGCTTCCATCAAACAAACGTTCAGTGCAGCTAATAGCCATCACTCACTGTCCAAAATAACCTAAGCTCACACAACTGATTTAAACTGGGCCCCAATTACTCTTTCTAATGACAGTACAGGAGGAAGGGAGACGGAATCAGAGCATCACGATAAAATGTAACACAGACTTTGTGCAGCAACCCCAGGCCTGCTAGCAAATGCTATGGGCTAAAGAATATTTTTTTATTTGTACCTCAAAAATCAATAAAATTGTAACCAAGAAAAAAGTGTCTCCAGCTCAGTGTAGGTACCCTTGTTGTCCATATCTGTGTGTCTGCGGGCACACAAGAGAATCCGAACAAAGAGGACATTGTAACACTGCACAGCTCATGTGGAGCAAATGCAGGCTGGCATCAGCACTGCACCCCATGGCTAGAAAACAGGGACCGTGTTACTACTGCATGGGGAGAAGGCACACAATTAGAGAACTGGTGATAGATTTTTCTTGCTAAGTCAACACCCCCAAGTCGTTATTTCTTCTTTTTATGAGTTCCAGTAACAACTCTTAAGTTATGGAGTGCGTGTGCAATGGGGATTATTACCAGTGGAATCATACCAATGATAATGAAGAAACCAGTGAGGTTATTTTCCCATGGGTGGTGTCTGGGCATTTTTAATGGAGCAACCCTCACTCATGCACCATAGACTTGCTTACCATGGTTTCTAAGCAAATGTAACGGGGGGGGGGGGGGTTTGCATAACATTTCAAGTTACCTACCTGTATCCTATTTTAACTTTTGAAGACCTGAAGTTCTGTATCTCAGTCACTGGGGAATTTGTAACAAGATCTTCCAAATCACATTAACTTGGAGAACAGCTTTCTGGATAGCGTAAGTTCAAACCAGAAATGATAATGGCAGATTCATTTGTTAAATCTGGGCTTAACAAGAGCGATATAACGGGTACAGGGCCCCATTTTTATAACAAAAGGGCCACATGGCTGGATCTTCTCCACGCCTTCCAATGACTACCATATTGCCTTTTCCTTCCATGTTTCATCCACCTATGGGTTTATACACATACACTTTTCTATTTTAAACACAAATGGAACAGATCTAGCTTTAAAGCACTGTCTCTTCTGCTATCGCGTCTACTTGTGCAAAAAAGAAGTAGCAATTATGTGCTGGTGCTTTTACCATATAACCACTGAAAAGCTGGAAGTAGAGAGTAGTATAAATTTAGCAGTTGTGGTGTAAATTTTTTCTACACAGAGGAGTGTTTCCTCTGCATTTTAATTATTGACTTGAATTGTACAATACCTGTCACCAAGAACAGGAAGCTCAAAGTGATTAACAATCCAAGAGTCAAACTTGGGAAAGAAGAACTTACTGCATTTCCTTCTAGTATCTCCAAACAGTAAAGAATGTCTCTTACACTCACTGAAGTATATGGAAGGTATGCTGGAGTATACAGCTACTCATGGGCAACTCCAATTTAGCTCATCAATAAAGAAATTCCTGTAGGATTGTGCCCAGGATGGAAGGGCAGGAGGAGCTCCCAGAGTGATACAGAAGCGAAATGTGTACACTCAAAGCAGGGCCGGCATCAAGGCTAGGTTCAGTCAGGCACCTGTAGTAGGCCCAGACTCCAGCAGGGGTCCACCAACAAAGGCCCTGTTGGATTTGTGTCTCCTTCCTACTGCTTTTCCACCCTCTGGCCCAGTCCTCAGAGGTGGCGAGAGGGACAGAAGCTGCCCCTGCTTCCTTGCTACTGGCTCTCTGCCTCTAAGCCAACAAATGGTGGCTATGACGAGAACAAGGATGAAGGAGCGAAAGCATCTGGTGGTGATGAGACACCGGACTCCCTGAGGGAGGGATTCTCCTGAGGGGTCTTGTCCAAGAGCACTCACAAACCTGGGGCTGACATTGCCACGCACACCTGCATTCTTGTTGATTAGGGAAGGGGTTACGTAGGGCACTCTGAAATTAAGCCAAAGAAAAAGCCTTTAGAGTTTAACTGTGAGATGATCTGAGAATCTTGTCGCCTTCATAGTAACAATATATAATTAGGCTTCTGTTCTTTAGTGCTCGACTGATGCCCTCGTAGAGAACCTCTCCAGTGCCAAAACCTCATTCCCGGCCAGCCATCATATACTTCTAATGTAAGTCATTAACCCAGGAAATGTTGCTAAGCCATGAAACTGAGCTTATCAAGCAAATACGAAGAAAGCAATCCCACATTTCTCAAAGCTTCCTGCCTTGTTATTTGCCGACTGATCCTAATTACAGTGTCCCACGACTGGG